CCCCAAACTGGCTAAGCTATTTATACAACACGTCTACTGAGCTCATGGTGTCCCAGAACGAGTAATTTCGGATTGTGGGGTCTAGTTCACCGCCACGTTCTGGAGGGCGTTCCTAAAACTACTGGGGGCATCGCAAGGTTTGAGTTTGGGGTACCACCGCCAGACGTCAGGATCCTGTGAACGTCTGAACTCAGTACTAGAACAGTATTTGAGATGTTTCATTAACTACCAACAAGACAATTGGGATGAGCTGTTACCTTTTGCTGAAGTGGCTTATCATAATGCGGTGCACCAAAGCACTGGCCTCACCCCTTTTAAAATAGCTACAGGACAGGACTTTGTACCCATCCTGGAACTACCTAAAGAGTCCACTCAAGTCACTTCAGTTGATGAATGGGTCCAACAAATGACGCAAGTGTGGCCTCAGATTGCTGCATCATTGAAGGAGGCCAGAGCAACGTACAAAATATTTGCAGATGCTAAAAGAACCCCAGAGAAAGACTGGGAAGTAGGCGAAAAGGTTCTTTTGTCTACCAAGCATCTTAAATCATTACAACCTTCGAAAAAGCTTGCTCCCAAGTTCGTAGGTCCTTTTGTTATTGATAAAGTGATTCATCCAGTCTCAGTACGATTGCAGATGCCTGCTACATTTAAAAGAATCCATCCAGTCTTCCACTATGACCTACTTAAACCCTACTAAGAGTCATCTCAATGGCATTCCTCCCCATTGCCATCTAAGCCAATGATGGTTGAAGGAGAACAACATTTTGAAGTTAAAGAAATACTGGACAGTAGAAAACATAGAGGGGAGATTCAGTTTTTAATTCAGTGGAAACATTTTCCTAAATCACTGGCTGGGTTGACAATAAACATGTAAAGGCTCTAGATTTAGTTAAAAAATTCTATAATGCTTATCTTACAAAGCCTTAACACTTGCCATTGTTATCGTATCATGTTTTCCTTTTCTTTTTGTTTTTTAGGGTGAAGAATATGAGTCATCTGACTGACATCCTCACTTGTGGAGGGGCAGCATCTCAGAATCCTCGCAAGATTTAATAGTAGATTGTTATGATGGCTAGTTTAGAAATTGCTTTTTACATGCTGCGATTCTGCCATTGTAAAAGGGGCGGGGGGAGAAAGAATGAGAAACTGTTACAAGCAGATGGATTTGGGATCAGCGGGTAGCAGATCGTTACACTAAGTCAGGAAGGCCAACAAGTATCCAATATAACATACAGTGGAACCTCGGGTTACGAACGCTTCTGTTAACGAACTTTTCAGGTTACGACC